TTAAAAATCGAAACAGAAATAAAAAATGAACTAAAAATAAAATTAAAAAAATTAAAATAAAAAATAAAATTAAAAGAAGAAAAGAAAAGAAAAAAAAATTGAAAAGCCAGGAATTATTTTAACGTTTTAATAATAAAATAAAATCAAAGCGGATATGGCAACGCTACGAGGAAAAAGTGGAATAACATCACAGAAACAAAAAAAAAAAAATCTTTTTTTTTTTTTTGTCTTTTTTTTTCCTTTCGTTTTGTTTTTTGTTTTGCAGGCAACACTGTTCGGAGCGAAGAAAACACTTGACGGGTGAATAAAAAAACCCAAAACCGAAAACAAGTGAATTTTCTAAACTCTAGACAATATTATCTAAAGGTGATAAAAAAAACCAACCAGTCTCCTTGACCGCGATTCAAGGTTTCATTCGCCGGTAGCTATTGCTTCATTGTTCAGATCCGTAAGAACACCAGACGGATGCGGAAAAACGAGACACCGTGGAATAAAACCAAACAAAATTTAAAAAAAACAAATAAACCCCCCCCCCCAATTCAGTTTTTTTGGTACGAAAACGTCGTGGTTGATGTGGAATGTTACCTCCAGTCGTTTCACCGCTTTGAGGGAAAAATTCTCCTCGTTCTGGTTGATAAACCCATCGGTTTAATCGGGATTACGTTGGTTTGTTGGGAATAAACTTATGGAAAAAGCTTCCCTCAAACTTCCCATCACCCCAAAATTTATTTCCGAGTGGAAAAATTCCCTTTTTTTTTTTTTTTCTTTTTTTTTTAAATTTTTTGTCACGGATCTGGTAACGAGATGGAAAAAAAAAATTAAAATAATAAAAATAAAAATAAATCAAAGTGGGGTGGAAAGCCCCTAATCCTTATGAAGGATGAAAAAAAATTCAGTTGTTAAATTTTAAGGGATATCCGATGGCTTTTTCCAGGCACTCTACCAAAGAACCGGCAGAAAGAAAATCCCTTTCCACTTCCACAAATTTAATATAGATGGATTTCGGTGATACACCGGGTTCGACGACACAGTTCTGAGATAAAAAAGCATTGATTCCAACCCAATCTTTACTGAAGGTTTTGGTATTTGCCTGAAAATGTAAAAACAAGCATTGTTGGAGAGTCCGCATTTCGGCAATGCCGAGGTAACAGTAGATAATCCGCGCGGATTCCATTTCCACCCGGATGGAGGTTTGTGGAGATGGAACCTCCAGCTCGGCTTGAGTCTCGTTGCCGGCATCGGCGAGAGGGGAAGGGGGTTTTTCATGGCACTCTTCGTACCCGATAGCGTATAAACCAGGACTTTTTGGGATTCCTCCTGGTAATAAATATTGAACGACGTTTCCGCCGGTAGGTTTGGAATGGGCGATGGGGATCCAGTCGATCTCCATGTGTAACTCTAAGCACCGAGCTTCGCTAATCGTTATCTCCAAAAATTTATAATAAACATTTTTCCAGTTCATTTTTTGAACTCTGGTCATAATAACTCGACCTTCGGGTTTTTCCGAATTGAAATATTCCCGGAGTCGTTTCCCGAGAGGAACTTGCGAACTGATTTCCGCGTAATGATAACGAATATCCTCCTTCCAACGGGTGTTATAACCGATGCCGAAAATAGCCAGTTTATTGGAAAGGTGAAGTCGGGAAAAATCCGTCCAGCTTTGAAACAGCTCCCACTTCAACTGAACCGACTCTAAAATTTGCATAATATTCTGCATGACGTCACGCTTCCTGGAAATTAAAAACATGGAGAGAAGGAAAAAGGCGTCAATAAAACCAGAGCTGCGAAACCATCCCGGCAAACGCACCCACCTTCGGAAAAATATTAATATTTGGAAAAATATTCATCCCAGCTGTTTAGGTGGTGGGTGTTTTATTCCCTGTATCACTCGGTGAGTTTCTGGATGATAAAACCACACTGATTTTTTTTTTTTTTAATTAATCTCAATAAAACCAAATGAAAACCCAACACAAACTCATTCCGATGTCTCAAGCCAATGACAATCTCGACTAGAAATGAGATTTCACACAAAAACTTCTCCAGGAGGTAATACAATAAAGAAAACCAGAGTTGATAAACCTCCAAATTCCGCGTCTGACAAAGATTTCTGCTCTTACCAATCCCAAAAAACCCTGCGGTGGAAGAAAAACCCAACCCAAGCTCCTTCTGATACCTCAAGTGAATGACAGTCTCTGCTAGAAATGAGATCAAAACCCAAAAACATCTGCAAGAGATAAACTGATACAGAAAATGAATTGATAAATCTCCAAATTCCACTTCTAACAAAGATTTCCGCTCTTACTGAACCCAAAAAAACATGTGATGGAAGAAAAACCCAACGCAAACTCCTTCTGATACCTCAAGCGAATGACAATCTCTGCTAGAAATGGGATTTCATGAAAAAACTTCTGCAGGAGATAACAAAATAAAGAAAACCAGAGTTGATAAAGCTCCAAATTCTGCTTCCAACAAAAATTTCTGCTCTTACTGATCCCAAAAACCCACCTGATAGAAGAAAAACCCAACTCAAACTCCTTCTGATACCTCAAGTGAACGACAGTCTCTGCTAGAAATGAGATCCAACCCCAAAAAACTTCTGCAGGAGGTAACAAGATAAAGAAAATGAGAGTTGATAAATCTCCAAATTCCGCTTCTGACAAAGATTTCCACTTATACTGATCCCAAAAATCCCACAGTGGAAGAAAAATCTAACGCAAACTCCTTCCAATACCTCAAGTGAATGACAAACTTTACTAGAAATGAGATTTTATGCAAAAACTTTTGCAGGAGATAATCTGATAATGAAAATTAATTGATAAATCTCCAAATTCCACTTCCAACAAAGATTTCTGCTCTTACTGATCCCAAAAAAATATGTGATGGAAGAAAAACCCAACGCAAACTTCTTCTGATACCTCAAGCGAATGACAGTCTCTGCTAGAAATGGGATTTTGTGAAAAAACTTCTGCAGGAGTGTATTGGGTTTGC